AAAAAAAAAAAAAAAAAAAAAAAAATTACAAAACCCATAAAGCTAAAGAACTAAAACATAGTGTGACTCATCAATTTTACTTTCGGGTTTAAATCGAAAGAATTGAGGGAATTGAAAAGATATCTGTACACCCTGTTCATACCATCATTAGTCACAACATCCAAAAAGTGAGGGGACCAAGAAATAAAGGGGGGGCGGACGAGGAAGGAAGGGGATCTAAAAAGAGGAAAATGTATTATGTATACGTACTAATTTCTCCACAATGAATGTAATCATGTACTACAAACATGGACTAATAAAATTTTTTTGTGAATGAGAAAAGTTTCTTTTCTTTTATGAAAAAAATTTTAAAAGGAAGAAACCTAGGTATGATGATGTAACAGAATAATTAGAACCTACCAAGAGTGACATAAACTTTGCATTTGAATTGAAAATGTGATGCTGGGCACTGTGATGCTCATCTGTAGTCCTAGCTACTCAGGAGGCTGGGTCAGGAGGATCATGTGAGACCCGACTGAGTTAAAGTGACTCCGTGTTGGCCAGCTAATGACCCCAGAAATTCTTGTGTCCCCCTCCCCTTATCCAACATCAGGGAAAACTGCTCAAACTGCAAAAACCTCCTTGCGCTAATTGCAAGTTTAATTAACAAGCCTGCCTGGGAACAGATGGGATGTTAAAGGTGACTATAAAACACTACCCCTATAAGATAAGCGTAAGATGAGTAAATGTGTTTGAAGTTTCTCCCCCTTGCAGCTGTGAGAAAACCCTGACCTACGTTTGAAATTTTGTTTGAAAAATCCTATAAAACCTATGCACAATCCTGTAACGGGGCTTCACTTCTTTTAGGAAATGAAAGTCCACACGTGTGTAATAAACTTCTTTCAGTTTTATCTGTGTCCCGGTATTTGGTGTTCTCTCGCTGGCTTGGTGTAGGAGATCACTTGAGCCCAGAGGTTCAGGAAGAGCCTGGGCAATATAGCAAAACCACTTCTCTTTAAATAAGGCAAGACGAATCTCGGCCAGAAGTGGTAGTGTTATCAGTTAATTCCTTTATAACTGGCTGTTTTTATACACTCATAGTCACTTTATTCTTGTTTGTTTTTTTTTTAAACAGGGTCTCACTATGTAGTTGAGACTGACCCGAAACTCACTATGTAGCCCAGGCTGGTCTCGAACTCACAGGGATCCTCCTGCCTCAGCCTCCCGAGTGCTGGGATGACAGGTGTGCGCCACCACGCCAGGCCATAGTCACTTTAATTAGCTTTTAAATGTTGTTAAACATTGTCTGCTAAGACATTGGTCTTTAATTTCTCTGCGTTTAAACAGGGAGCAACAAAAGCCAGGGGCCGATAGCCTCAGACAGGCTCTTGTAGTGGGAGAGAGCAGTGCTGGTAAACTGTGAGAGAAATTCAGTCATGGCTGAGCCAAGTGGGCCGCACGCACATCTAGCATGCTAGGGGATACTCAGGACTTTGTGCGTTGAGACTGGCTTAGAGCCGGCTGAAGGACATCTGGTTCCTCCTATTTGCTGCCTCCATCGCTCACCCAAAAGATCACCTTATATAGAAATATGAGAGCATCAACCAATCACATTAGGCCCAGCATACAGTGTCCCTCCCCTTGCTCCTTGCTTCTGTAAGTGACTGTTCTGCCTATTAAAAATGGAAGTGTTCCAGAAACCTCCCCGGAGTCTGCCTGGTGGTTCCGCGCCTCGCCCTCCCGATCCGAGCTTCAGAGCCAGAGTAACTGCACGACAACAAACAGACAAACAACAACAATGGTAAACTGTATGCAGGCTCAGTGCCTGAGACACACAGGCAGCTCTGGTCTCTGGAGCGCCAGCACCAGCTTGTGCTCTGTTGTCACACTGAGAAACACAGAGCCAGTGGCCCAAATTCCCACTCACACAGGACGGCTGTTGTGCTTGATGCTCTCTGCTCAGCGTGTTCCTCACAAGGCTGATAACACCTTGGTGCTTTGGGTCTTTAAGAAGGCTAAGCCCTTGGCCTAGGTGGGAAACAAAAGCCTTCCAGGAAAGTTCCTTGACCCATCCTTACCAAGAATCCTTGTTCTTTCCTGGTACTATTGCTACATGACTTGTTTCCCCATTGGATCCCCATGTAATCAATATTACCTAAGTGACTGTCGTTGTCATAATTGACAGGTCCCCCAAGTTGGACCCCCACCCAAGCAGACCCACTACTCACATTCACACGAGCAGACATAACAAGAAGCCAGCAGCCACCCTACTTATCAGCCAGCCCCAGGCCCATCACCCACGGGACTCTATAAATTTTTCCATCCTCTTGAGCACTGTCCCCTCCCCTACCTAAAATGCCCCATATCACCACGAGCACCCTCCTCTCAGTGCCAACGGCTTTCTCGTCCTTGGCCCGTCTGCACCCAGAGGGCAATAAACTCACCGCATGTTGCTTAGACTTTGCCTG